TTTCTCTCAACTCACCATTGCCTTATAGTGCCCATGAGGGTTTTTACCAATAAGACTCTCTCATTTATTTCTCTTTCTTTACAATGGCTGAGGCATCACCCGTAGTATACTAACTTAGCATTCTCGAAAGTTGATCAGAAGGTCTTAGCAGGGAAAGGTAAAAAGAACTATTCAGCTGAATTACAACTTTTGGAACCATTTTGATGGACCAACCATCGAAAATAAAATAAAATCATGCCCCAGTTTCTTTGAATACTAGGGAAATATGAATTTTTATTTTGGTGTGACCGAACCCCAGAGTGAGCCTGCCTATGTATCCTTTCGGAATCAGGTCGGACGTAGTTCAATTAACTTGAACTTGTTTTGATTTTTGTTTTATTTTTCTTCTGTTTTGTTTTATTTTGCTTATTTTCTCTTTTTTTTCTTTTTTCTCTTTCTTTTTTATTTTTCTTTTTTTTCTTTTTTCTTTTTTTCTTTTTCTTTCTCATTACATATAAGGTTCCAAAGAGGGTGGCCAAGAAAAATGTATCTGGTTCAAAGGGTTAGAAAAGGGTTAATAGTATTTGGGTAGTGAGAATGAAAGCCTTCGTCATCCCAATCAGAGAGCATTAAAGCTACGTAAAGGGTCAAACATAGTACCTTTTGACCGCGTCTGCACTGACAGTTGTATCAGGAACATTTCCTTCGATGTCTCCCAAATACAGTACTCCCCTTTGGCAGCACTCTTGTTACAATGTATGGACCTTCCAATTCAGGGCAAATTTTCCTTTAGCTTCCTCGTGATGCGGAAGAATACGCCTCAGAACGAGTTGCCCTACTTCAAATATCTTGGGCCGCACTTTCTTGTTGTAGGCATGGGCCATTCTTTGTTGGTACAACTGCCTGTGGCAAACTGCAGTCAATCGCTTTTCATCAACCAAAGTCATTTTCTTCAGTCGGGTCTTGACTCAATCTTCATCCTCGAACTCGGTTTCAACAATGATTCGAAGAGAAGGAATTTTAACTTCTACTGATATTATGGCTACAATGCCATAAACCAATCAAGTAAGGGCGGTTTTCATTTGGACTTGGTTTAGGCTTGTTGTCCCTTCTTTGTTTATTTTCTTAAAAGCCTTATCTTCGGCACATTCTACTTCTTGATTCATTATTTCAAGGCCTGACATCGTTTTAGGATCTGGGCATGAAGTCCGCAAGCATGTCATATTATTAAAATTTGCATTAACAAAATTGAAAAGAGAATAAGAAAGGTGACAAGATTAATAAAAGAGACATTCATGGATGATGAAATATTGATTTCATTTATTTGAATTTTATAGGTAAAAAAAAATAGAAGGGTTTATATCAGAAAGTAAGACAGTAAAGTAAAAGAATTCGGATTACACCCTGAAATAACCCAAAATACAGAAAAGATAGCAAGACCGGCTACCGATATTCCCGTCTGATAGGGAAAGTTTATGGTTTGGCGCCCATTTTTAGGTTTCTTTTCTATTACGGCAATGGCTACAATGGCTTTTAAAGCTGGATCAAATTCTTCAATTGCCCTTTTGAGGGTCCAACAGTCCTCTGTATCATGTCCCACTTCTACAGAGTGATATTCACATCTAGCATCAGCTTGGTGCGAGGGGGACTCGGGATTTGGCCGGTTCGGGGCCACTGGCTGCAGCAGACCTAGCCCGATTAGCTTTTGAAACAGACTTAAATATGATTCACCAATAGGGGTGAACTGATTCCTTCTGAGGAGCTCTCTTGGGCGAGGATTGTATTAGGGAATATTTGGTTGGGGATTATATGGAGCTTGGTTGGGACGGGCATTTTTGGGAGGTGGAGCTCGGTTTTGTGTATAATGTTGTGGCCGCGTGTAAGGTTGCGCGTTCATCACTGCATAGAGAGGCAGTGCCACGGCATAAACAATATCTTTATGGGGATAATATTGTTGTGGGACCTTAGGAAGCATATATGATTGGTTGAATGACCTGCGGGCCCCCTCGAGCTCAAAGCCATCATGGCTCCCTCTTCCCTCATGTTTCTGTTCATCAAACCCCCCGAACCATTCTGAACGGTCTGTGATGTGGCCTTAAAGGCAGTATGACTCAAGATATGGCATGTTTTTAAACCATTTTCGACCATCTCCCCAATTTTGATAGCCTCGGCGAACGGATTATCCATAACGGACATCATGTTCTGGAAGTAGTCCACCTCTTGGGCCTGTAGGAAAACCGTAACCATTTCTGCTTCATCCATTGGAGGCTTTACCCTGACGGCTTGCTTGCGCCATTTGACAGCATTAAAAGAGACTTTCCGCAGTTTTCTTTTTCAAATTGGACAAAGAGTTCTCTTTTTGTGTTTTTTTACTCTTGCTTTTTTTTTGGTTGTTTTTCGCTCTTTGTATTTCTTTGTTATTTTTGTCACTCCTTTTATTTTCTTTCTTCTCTTTTTTTTTTTCACACAGTTTATTTGATGGCAATGATCGAATTCGATGGGGATTTTGCCTACGTATCATGACGCCACATGAATCAGATCTTGCGTAGTTCAGGAATATCGGGAACAAAGTACATAAGCTAGCTCTTTTTTTTTTCTTTGGGAATTTTGGAAGAAGACTTCTTAAAGGAGAAAGAAAATATTGTTTTTGATTTTGATTGATTTGTCTTTGAATTTTTAGAAGAAAGACTTCAAAAGAAGGAAAAAACATATTTTTGGATTTTGATTCGTAAATTGGTTTTTTTTTTCCGAATGAAATACTTTGGAAATTTTTTTTGGATTTAATGATTTTTGTTTTTGAATTTTCTAAGGAAAGAATTCTGAGAAGGAATTAAGGAAAGGGAAAATATTTTAGATTTTCTTTTAAATTGGGGGCCGGAAGTGATGAGGTTTTCCTACGTATCTCACATCCGGTGAGAATCAGACCCGCGTAGTTCGATTAAAAAAAAAAAAAATTTTGAAAATTGTGATTTTACACACTAGAACCCTTCAAAAATAATTTTTTTTAAAAAATGGGTACTTTATGAAAACTTGGAGGAAATTTTCTCTTTCTCTCCCCTCTGTTCAATCAATCTATCCTAAAGCCGGTCAATATTTGAGTAAAGCCTACCAAATAATGTTATATATAGCACAAAAAAATGAACATGTTGGTCTGAAAAATTGGTACATGTCCTAGACGGGCCCGACCCCTGTGTCGAGTCCCGCTAAGTCCAATGCACATGATGCAAATAAAACGTAGCCTAAGGAGATGGTATCTAGACTTGGCTTACCCGGGCGGATAATCCGAGCCGAGGAGTGTCAAGCATCACCAGTAGTAGAACAACACTGGTTAGCTAACGGCTCTCCCGCCTAAACATGTGTGACTAAATCCTTAACCAGAAGCTGGTAGACTAACTGGCTTTATCTCAAGATAGAAATTTTGTGATGCTGTGTCACGACCCAAAATCCATAAAGGTCGTGATGGCGTCGGACACCGCTGTCAGACAAGACAACAATAAATACTAAATAAATTATCATTTTAATATTTTTGAAGTCATAGTTGTTCCCTTCAATTAAATAGCAAAAGATGAAGTTTACAAAATATATAATAATATCTTTAAAAATTTCCAATACAGTGCAACCCATAATCATCCCAAAATCTGGTGTCACAAGTGCATGAACATTTACTAAGGAATTAAAAAATATAAAATACAGGATCTGTCCAGAATACAAATTAGTCAGGAAAATATAATATCTCTAAAGGAGACTCTGTTGGCTGCAGATCGTAATACAGAATGCTGCTCACATATGTCCCCACAATTATTAACCACACCTCTGCGCCCACAAGGCCGCTAGACATATATGTTCCTGCACAATAAAATGTATAGCAAGTGCAACATGAGTACGAAAATAACGTGTACCAATAAGTATCAAGCCTAATCTCGAAGAGGTAGAGACGAGATGACCGACTTTGACACTCACTATGGGTCAATAATATTAAATAATCATGAAAATAGAAATATTTACATCAACATGATTCACAGAGTTAACAATAATTTTATTGAACCACCCGAAGTAATTAAATTCCTTCAATTCCAATAAATTTCCAATTAATCAATTAGCCTCATTTACAGGAATAACAATAATTTCCTTAACAAGCAGAGATAAATAAATTCTTTAAATTCCAATAATTTCAAAATCTCAATTAGCTTCACAAGTTGAAATAAACTATCAAAGTATCGTGTAATTATTATTATTAAGCACGATTTCTGCCGAGGTCGTTCGGCCTGATCCAGAGTGTCATATATACTGTCGAGGGACGTGCGACACGATCCATAGATGCATCTATCCTGCCGAGGCGTTCGGCCCACTCCACAAAAAAGGAGGACATTTTTTATGTACCTCCGGGAATGAGAGTATGTTTATTATAAGATAATTTCGAGAGGATGACCAATTTCTTTTAACAATTAATTAATTTAAACAGAAATAAGCATATGAGATTTCCATCTTTTACTATCTCTCACTAACAATTTATGATATATATCAAATAATTTAATTAAATAACGAATATAATTTACACAAGTAATTCATGCTTTGAGTCCTAAACTACCCGGACTTTAGCATTAGTAGTTGCTACGCACGGACTCTCGTCACCTCGTGCGTACGTAGCCCCCACAATTAGCAACAATTATTAATTTAATTACCTATGGGATAATTTTTCCCTCACAAGATTATACAAGAGACTTACCTTATCTCAAAGTTCATTTTTCGATTACCGCATCACGTAAAATTCTCGATTCTACGCAAAAAAAATCCGAAGCTGTCCAAATATTATACAAAACAATTAATATAAGTTCAATAATTCAAAATTCATCTATTAAATAAATTACCCCATCCAAAATGGTAGAATTTTTAAAATTCACCCCGGGCCCACGTGCCCGGATTTCAGAAATTTTCGGAGGGAATCGTTACCCATAATATCAAGGACTCAAATACATCATTTCCATCCAATCCCATAGTAATTTTCGTGGTTAAAATCCAAGAATACCAATTTCTAGATTTTTCTTCAAAACCCCAAATTTCTACTAATTTCCATGAATTTTCACGCCTAAATTCGTATATAAGTAGGAAACACTTACCTTGACATAAATGATGAAAATGGAGCTCCAAAATCGCTCCTAGGTCGGCTCCCATGGAGGAAATGAAATAAAATGAGCCAAACTCATTTTTTAAACTTAAACACTGCCCAGGCGAACCTTCATCGTGTTCGCGAGCCTCCCATCGCGTTTGCGATGAACAAAATTCTCAGAAGCCATTTTCAAACTCTTCTCAGACAGCCTCTAGTATAATGGTCATAACCTTTAGTACAAAACTCCAAATCACAAATAGTTTGACTTTCTGGAAACTAGACATCAAGTTTTATAACTTTTATATGTTGATCATCTCCCAATTCCTTATAGATTCTGATATATAAGCTGCCAAAGTCAGCCCTATGCAATACAAATTTCTTTATCTTCCCGGACAACCTGTAGTATACTAGCCATAACTTTTTGTACACAAATCCAAATGCTAAATAGTTTACCTTTCTGAAAACTAGATACAAAGGTATACAACGTTCATTTTTGGATTATCTCCAAATTCCTTATAGATTGCGAGAAATGAGCCTTCGAAGTCAGACCCGCGGAATAAAGATTTTCTTCTTCTCGAACGCGAGAATCTCTTCGCGAACGCGAAGAACAAAATCCCAGTAGCCAAATCCTTCTTCGCGAACACGAGAGGATCCTTGCGAACGCGAAGAACAACACCTGACACCAGCATCAGCTATTGCAAAACAACCCGAAATGATCCGAAACCACCCCGAAACACACCCGAGGCCCCCGAGACCCCGTCCAATCATACCAACCAGTCCCATAACATAACACAAACTTACTCGAGGCCTCAAATCACATCAAACAACATCGAAATCATGCATCACACCCCAATTCAAGCTTAATGAACTTTAGAAATTTAAACTTCTACATCCGATGCCGGAACCTATCGAATCACGTCCGATTGATCTCAAATTATGCACACAAGTCACATTCGACATTACGGACCTACTCCAATTTTTGGAATCGGAATCCGACCCCGATATCAAAAAGTCCACTTTCGGTCAAACTTCTCAAAAACCTTCAAATTTCTAGCTTTAGCCAAATGACTCCAAAATGACCTACGGGCCTCTGAATCCACTTTCGGACGCACTCCTAACACCAGAATCACCATACAGAGCTATTCCCATACTCGGAATCCCAAACAGACATCGTTAACCTTGAAATGCACTTCAACCCAAATTTATGGAATTTTTCCAACATGCTAACTTCCACAATAGGTGCCGAAACACTCTCGGGTTATCCAAAACCCGATACGGACATACGTCCAAGTCCGAAATCATCATACAAATCTGTTAGGACCTTCAAATCCTGATTCCGAGATCGTTTACTCAAAAATCCAACTTTAGTCAATTCTTCCAACTTAAAGCTTCCGAAATGAGAATTTTCTTTCCAAATAAACTCTGAACTTCCGAAATTTCAATTCCGACCATGCATGCAAGTCATAATACCTGAAGTGAAGCTACTCGTGACCTCAAACTGCTGAACGACACGCTAGGGCTCAAAACGATCGGTCGGGTCGTTACATTCTCTCCCACTTAAACATACATTGGTTCTCGAACGTGCTAAGGATTGCTCTGGGGTTGTCCGAAATCACTGTTTAATACCTCGTGCACTTACCCGTGCTGCCACAACTCAGTTGAGCACACTAGCTCGAGCAAGTCTGAAGATTCTCTCTTTTTACTTAGCCAAAATAAGCCTTAGAGTCCAATTCCAACATCCGAAATTCTCTGCTAGGCCTGTTCCCATCATACGAACACCGTATCAATCACTACACGATGCACCGATACATGATTGCGTACCTTCACTGAATTCAGACTATGCACTGGATAACTTACATGACCATAATAACATCCTCTGATAACTATAGCCGAAATTACACGAATCTGATGCTCACAATGCACCTCATGACATATATAAGTCTTGTTCCAACTCTTGCAATACCTCCACGATGGAAGAGATGTGTAGAAATTCATAACCACATGCTGAATCAATCAAATCATGGGGTCGCCCCTCCTGACAAGGACCATTACCTCCTTCTGAACTGAATAGCGATATTTGTTCCTTATTATACCTTATATAAACCTGATTGTACTTATTTCCGGTCCAATAGTCTCATCTCACCCAGTATAAGCTGTTCGGGCAATAAGCCACCGCAGGCGCTGCCAAAAGTCTCATATGGTGCCACAATGTGCCAATAAGCTACAAACCCGAATGTGATACCTAAGGAAAAATGAACTCTAGAAAGGATTACTCAACCCACGTAACTAATTAGACAACCGAAAATGTGTTATGAACCTTTCTCAGAAAATGGGACACAAAACGCACAAAATAGAATATAGGAAACTGTACTCAACATTACATTGTTGCGGCATGCAACCCGATCTACAAAATATACCCGTGGCGGCGTGTCACCTGATCCTCACAAAAAGAATCTATAAGAAAATACTTACCGAGCTAGAATGCTCATTACTACAAAATATCCGAATATCGGACACAAGCATGCTAAGTGCATAATACCATCCCTGGGAGGACCGACAACTCCATACGCTACAAAGCTCAAACACAACTAAGGTGCGATATACGATCTGGATTTCGAGAGCCATCCTGCTCACATAGCACCATCGCTATACAGAACCTCAACACATAAGATATTTATCAAGTCCTTTCACAACTCACACAGCACAATATAGTATTATATGAAATAACCGACGACGAAACGACTTCCAACGTCCGAATACTCCTCCATAAGGAGCGCTATGCTGAAATGAACACATCCGGCTTGATATAGAGCGCATATTCATATTTAAATCCATCAACAGACCTCAAGCCGATTCTGATCGCACCGTACTAGGCTAATAACCTTTCAAGGATCCATAATAACCCTTTTCCCATAACACATAAGAACAACCATCATAACCGGAACAAACTTCCACAGTCCACAACCAAATGAACCGCGTGCCCTACAGGAATAAATTCTCGAATCAACGATATCGCCACAATCTTCATACTTGGTTGTTAAATATTTAATCAATCAAGTGACTACTTGTCACACTTATACAATCTTCCTGTGGAATACGCTCCCACGACCTTCCGCAATAGATAACAAGTCTGCACATCCATACCACCGGTCATACTAATGCTATAAAGCATATCAAAAATCCACAAATCAATACAAAAGGTCTCTTACACTAGAGATCAACCTTAGGTGATGCCGAAAACAATACCATCTTACTTTAAACATCTAAATCCTTTTCTTGCTCGTCCGAGCTTGTGACATTCTTGTCAAAATCGAACTGCAACCTCGATCCTCAACTTCCAAATTCCCATGCCGTTCTCCATACCTAGCATTCTAATACGCGAGAGTACAATAATTCCATCATAACTCTTGAACCACTAATAGACCCAACACTTCATCATATTGCAACCTTTTTCTTAACTCAATTCAGGAGAACCATTGCAACATGCGACTGAATTCCCATATCCACAGGAAATAAATTCCTCAAGTAGTGGTCTAAACCACCATAACTCTCCCGGGATCCATCTACACATAACATGCCATAATACTTGAATTCCTCCAAATAAAAATCAATTACGGCGGCCAGCAAGCCTCGCACGTACCGCCACAAATCACATGCATAACTCAATGCGCTGAAGGAACTAATCATTGCCACCATTATGCAAATTCAACCATTGTTAGCCGACCCGTCTTTTCTCACTTTATTCTCAACTTGCCTTAGAAATAATAATAGCTCCATTCATTACATCACAAACTCAAATTCGCATTCATCCTGAGTAACCTTATTTCATGAAACCACGGTGTTTCAAAACCCACGAATCATCTCATACCCCTCCTTGTGCGCACTTTTACATCTTCAACTGGTACACCCATTCTGATACTTCTTTTATGAATCCGAAGTTATTTTCTTCCGTTTCCCTAATGCTACACCATAACCTGAAGATAACGCAGAGTACTCCAAGCCCCGCTTCATAATCTACTGAAAAAACTCGATACTCAACCATACTACGGACTCGAGATCCTTAGACACCGTACTTTAAAATTTTGAACCCACTAAGACCGTTATTGAAAGTCACTTGCTCTGACTTGTTCCCAACATGATCAACTCCAAGGCCCTGCTAGCACATGGATATTTTCTCAAGGAAACACCCGACTATCTCACTTTCCCTATGCATTACATCTACATGAAGCATAAACTTTGAGTCTTCCCAAAGGCCAAACATGAATCAATAAGGCCAAATATGGCACACATTCCTCAAATCCTTTGCTCAAATTACCACCGATATTTTTTTTCTTAGTCGTGATGACTCACCAATACACCGATAACCAGAAACTACACAAGTTGACACTACGTAATCCAATCATAGATGGTGGGGCTCTCTCACTTAGCTTGAAGCTACAATTATGAAATTCTGGAATCCACCGAGATTCTTTCTTCATCGTTGACATGATCCTACACACGCAACTCGCCAAATTTCTTGGAATCCTTCTATTAACCTTTAATAAACACTCCGAACCACTATCCACATTTACATATTAAATCTCTTACTGGGTAGCCAGTAAAATTCTTCGCAGAAGCTTTGTCAACACCACGTGTGATGACCCAAAAGGTCATCTTATGTTTTAGAACTCGAATCTGTGCTCTTAAGCCTTAAAAATCTCATTTTAACCCTCCTCGATTTGCATGCACAGTCCGGACATATTTCTGGAAAGCGTTTATGTTGAAAATAAGAATTTATGCCTTAAGTTGATTTTATTTGACTTCGGTCAATATTTTTGGTAAACGGGACCGGATCCGTATTTTGACGATCCCGGTGGGTCCGTAGCAAAATATGGGACCTGGGCGTATGCCCAGAACCAGATTCAGAGGTCCCTAGCTTGAGTTATTAATTTTTGATGAAAATTAGTTATTTTTAAGAATTGATTGATGTTTGACATTGTTAGTACCGGGTCCGTATTTTGATTTCGGATCCCGGTACAGGTGTATTATGATATTTAAGACTTGTATGTGAAATTTGGTGAGAAATGAAATTGATTTGACGTGATTCGGACATCCAGTTGAGAAAATAGAAATTTTAAAGTGTTCTTGAGAATTTCATTTGATTTGGTGCTAAATTCATAGTTCTAGGTGTTATTTTGGCGATTTGATCGCGCAAGCAAGTTCATATAATATTTTTAGACTTGTGTGCATGTTTGGTTTGGAGGCTCGAGGGCTCGGGTGAGTTTCGGGTAGGCCACAGGATATTTTGGACTTTGAAAATCTGGTATTTTGCTGCAGCAGGTGTTCTGGCAGGTCCTTCTTCGCCTTCGCGAAGGTACCCTCGCGAACGCGAAGAGTAAACTGGGCAACTAAAGTTTTCTTCTTCGCGAACGCGAAGGCTTAGTCACAAATGCAAAGCGATAGGGGCGTTACCCTTCGCGAACTCGACCAGCTCCTCACGAATGCGTAGTGTTAGGCATACATGGGGAAGAGTCGATCGTTCCTTCATCGCGAACGCGAGCAATATCTCGCAAACGCGAAGGCCGGGGGGGGGGGGGGGGGGTAGCCTACGCGAATGCAAACACGGTCTCGTGAACGCTTGGCAGCCTATACTCTTCGCGAATGCGATGAACACTGTCACCCAACACTTAACAGAATCCAAACACAGGATTTAGCAAAAAATTCATTTTTCTCAAAAACAAAATGGTGTGAGGCGATTTTTCAAGAGCCATTTCTTCCCTAAAGTGTTGGTAAGTGATTCTAAACCATTTTCTTTCAATTACCCATTACATTTCTCGAATTATCAACCTAAAGTCTAGAGTTTTCATGGTAGAATTAGAGGTTAGGGTAGAAAACTAGGGATTTCGGAAATTTGGGAATTTAGACCTCAATTTGAGGTCGGATTTCAAAAATAATTATATATTCAGGCTCGGGGGTGAATGGGTAAATGGATTTTGGTCTGAACCTCAGGTTTTGACCAAGTGGGCCCGGGGTCGATATTTCAACTTTTTGGAGAAATTTGGGAAATTTAATTTATGCAATATGATTGATTTATTTATCAATATTTGATATTATTGAGTCATTTTTGAATAGATACGAGTGGTTTGGAGGTGAATTCCAAAGGAAAAGCTATGATTGAGAATTAAGTGGCCTTCAGAGCGAGGTAAGTGTTGTATCTAACCCTGACTTGAGGAAATTAGGAACCTTAGATTATTTGCTAAGTGAAATTCATGTGAGCGGCGTATATGTGAGGTGGCGAGTACTTATGCTCCGCCAATTTACCTGTATTCCATGTTTCTTCCATTTTCTTATATTGTCTCTTTCCTATGCCTAATTGCTACATGTTTATACTAATGTTGTTAAATTGATCGTCATTATCATGGTTACGGATTTTCTGTTGGTAATTGAGTATTCATTTAAAAGTTGAGATTTATATTGTGGAACCAAATGTTGAAGTAAGGTTTGTACTTGTTATTCTGTCTCCCTGTTTTTATTTATGCATTGCATTATGGTAAGGGAGAGTGTTAATGTACGAAGGGTGATGTCGTTCCATATTGTGAGTGTTAATGCACGAAGGGTGATGCCGTGCCATATTGTGAGTGTTAATGCACGAAGGGTGATGCCGTGCCATATTGTGAGTGTTAATGCACGAAGGGTGATGCCGTGCCATATTGTGAGTGTTAATGCACGAAGGGTGATGCCGTGCCATATTGTGAGTGTTAATGCACGAAGGGTGATGTCGTGCCATATTGTGAGTGTTAATGCACGAAGGGTGATGTCGTGCCATGATATGAGAGTTAATGCACGAAGGGTGATGCCGTGCCGTTTCTATTAATTTTATGGTGAGATTGAGAGTAAAAGTACGAAGGGTGATGCCGTGCATTCTTCCTTACTGTATTCACTATTCCTGTTGATTCATGGTATATTGACTGCTCCGGTGATCATTCTGTTGTAGTTCTTTATCTTGTATTCCCCTCAGTATGTTCCCCTCCCGACATTTCCTGTTTAGTTCTTCATTTCTGTTATTTGTATATACACTGTTAAATTGTACAGGTTAATTTGTAGGTGTCTTGCCTTAGCCTCGTCACTACTTCGTCGAGGTTAGGCTCGACACTTACCAGTACATGGGGTCGGTTGTACTGATACTGCACTCTGCACTTTCTGTGCAGATTTTGATACCGGCTCGGGTTGATTGAGATTTTGTTATTGGTCCGCTGTCCGGAGACTCAAGGTAGGTCTGTCGGCGTTCACAGACCTTGAAGTCCCCGTCTATCTTTTCTGTTCTACTGCTTCTTTCATTCAGACAGTTGTATTTCTTTCAGACTATTGCTTGTAGTAAATTCTAGAATGCTCGTGAATTGTGACTCCAGATCCGGGTGCTAGTAATTAATACAGTATTATGATATTCCGCACTTATTATATTTCATCTTAGTTAATTATTATTAATTACTGAATGGGAATAAGGAATTGGTTTAATGATTCTCTAACGTTGGCTTTCCTAGCAAGTGAAATGTTAGGCGCCATCACGGTCCAGTAGGTGGGAAATTTCGAGTCGTGACACCACGCGACCGCTAACCTGCTCACAAGAGATAACCCACCTATGGAAATTACATACCGACATATTCCAACGTTGCTGAACTGGGTGCAACTACTACGAAATCAGTAGATCATCCTGAGTCCGAGCTCACTCACCAGTTGCACCGGTCCGTTCACTCCTCATGGACGTCAACTAAAGGTGCAACAATACATTCCATCCCAAGTCATGTTGTATCCTTTTTCATATTAAGCAACTCCCTCCTGTCGCACCCAATCTTCCTCAACATAGCATCCAATATTCCAAATTAAGCCCGTAGACCTAATCACTGTCCACCATGAATCCCAAATCACTCTAATTTACCCCAAGGCGTGTGGCTATCCTACCACATAACCCGTATGCTACCTTGCCACTCTCCCACTTTGGTCAAACCCTCTCCTATAAGAAACTACTCGACTTTTGTTTTCTTACACTTGGCCTTCTAGGAACTTAACCACCACAAGACACCTCCCACATGTCCTTCCTCATCTTTTGCTGCCCAGTTGTTGCCTTAACTCAAAATTCGTTTCTGTAGCACTTGAACCAATAGATCATTACCAACTTTAAACCTTTTCGAGGATCATCCTTCTCGAGCCATCAATACTAGGAGCGCTGCTTCGATCCTGAATCACCGCACACCGCGATCTCTAATGACTGCTTCCCCTATACCAATTCCTAACACCCTATCGTGAAGGCGAGTTGAAGAAAACCATAACACCGACGAACCTTAACGCATTTTACAAGGCGATGACACCACATCAAAATTGAGAATTCTACCACACTCGAAAATATCAAGCTTCGTTACTCCTTCAACCCCAGACCTGAACATTCATAGTCCGATTGCCTTTTCTCCGCTGGAATTAAAATATGGAACCTCTGGATCATGTACTGAGAAAAACCTTCTTTCAAGACGTTTACTTCCCTGACACATAGACAGGCATTCTACCATTACATAAACACTATGCGATAACAACGCATGAATCGTCATAACAATTAATGCCAAATCTCAAAACCTTAGGTAGTATTGATACTGAACTGAAACGATAGAGCGGCCTTCCGCAAGGCAACGACAATTGCCCAATTAATTACACATGGAGAAGCATCCCGCACTACATCTGTAGTACCATTAAAAATTTCCTCGATCTTCAATTTATAACAAGCGCTTCACGTCGCATAAGATTGAATAGGAAGGAAATGTAGGCATAAGCCTCAAAGGAATCAAATCGCATGATGAGGAATCAAAAAGGGAAGTATTCCTAACAGCCCTGTAGCCTCTCGAAGATAAGCACAGACGTCTCCGTACCGATCCGCAAGACTCTACTAGACTTGCTCATGACTCGTGAGACCTAAGTGAACCTAGTGCTCTGATACCGTGTTGTCACGAGCCAAAATCCATAAAGGTCATGATGGCGTCGGACACCGCTGTCAGACAAGCCAACAATAAATACTAAATAAATTATCATTTTAATATTTTTGAAGTCATAGTTGTTCCCCTCAATTAAATAGTAGAAGATGAGGTTTACAAAATATGTAATAATATCTTTAAAAATTTCCGATACGGTGCAACCCATAATTATCCCAAAACCTGGTGTCACAAGTGCATGGGCATTTACTAGGGAATTAAAAAAAATAAAATACAGCATCTGTACAGAATACAAATTAGACAGGAAAATATAATATCTCTGAAGAAGACTCTGTTGGTTGCGGATCGTAATACAGAATGCAGCTCACATATGTCCCCACAATTATTAACCACACCTCTGCGCCCACAAGGCCGCTAGACATATATGTCCCTGCACAATAAAATATACAGCAAGTGCAGCATGATTACGAAAATAATGTGTACCCAGTAAGTATCAAGCCTAATCTCGAAGAGGTAGAGACGAGATGACCGACTTTGACACTCACTATGGGTCAATAATATTAAATAATCATGAAAATAGAAATATTTATATTAACGCGATTCACAGAGTTAACAATAATTTTATTGAACCACCAGAAGTAATTAAATTCCTTCAATTCCAATAAATTTCCAATTAATCAATTAGCCTCATTTACAGGAATAACAATAATTTTCTTAACAAGCAGAGATAAATAAATTCTTTAAATTCCAATAATTTCCAAATCTCAATTAGCTTCACAAGCTGAAATAAACTATCAAAGTATCGTAAAATTATTATTATTAAGCACGATTTCTGCCGAGGTCATTCGGCCCGATCCAGAGTGTCGTGTACACTGCCGAGGAACGTGCGGCACGATCCATAGATGCTTCTATCATGCCGAGGCGTTCAGCTCGTTCCACAAGAAAGGAGGACATTTTTTATGTACCTCCGGGAATGAGAGTATGTTTATTATAAGATAAATTCGAGAGGATGAACAATTTCTTTTAATAATTAATTAATTTAAATAGAAATAAGCATATGAGATTTCCATCTTTTACTATCTCTCACTAACAATTTACGATATATATCAAATAATTTAATTAAATAACGGATACAATTTACACAAGTAATTCATGCTTTGAGTCCTAAACTACTCAGACTTTAGCATTAATAGTTGCTACGCACGGACTCTCGTCACCTCGTGCGTGCGTAGCTCCCACAATTAGCAATAATTATTAATTTAATTATCTATGGGGTAATTTTCCCCTCACAAGATTATACAAGAGACTTACCTTGTCTCAAAGTCCACTTTTCGATTACCGCATCGCGTAAAATTCTCGATTCGACGCCGAAAAATCCAAAGCTATCCAAATATTATACAAAATAATTAATATAAGTTCAATAATTCGAAATTTATCTATTAAATAATTTACCCTATCCAAAATGGCAAAATTCCTAAAATTCACCCCAGCCCCACGTGCCCGGATTTCGGAAATTTTCGGAGGGAATCGTTACCCATAATCTCAAGAACTCAAATATACCATTTCCATCCAATCCCATAGTAATTTTCGTGGTTAAAATCCAAGAATAGCAATTTCTAGATTTTTCTTCAAAAACCCAAATTTTTACTAATTTCCATGAATTTTCACGCCTAAATTCGTATATAAAGCAAGTATTTAACTTGCAATAGGTAGGAATCACTTACCTTGACATAAATGATGAAAATGGAGCTCCAAATTGCTCCTAGGTCGGCTCCCATGAAGGAAATGAGCCAAACCCATTTTTTAAAACTTATACACTGCCCAGGTGAACCTTCATCGCATTCGCGAGCCTCCCATCGCGTTCATGATGAACAAAATTCTCAGAAGCCATTTTCAAACTCTTCTCAGACAACCTCTAGTATAATGGTCATAAAGTTTTGTACAAAACTCCAAATCACGAATGGTTTGACTTTCTGGAAACTACACGTCAAGTTCTATAACTTTCATATGTTGATCATCTCCCAATTTCTTATAGAATTTGAGATATAAGCTGCCAAAGTCAGCCCTGTGCAACAAAATTTTTTTCATCTTTCCGGATAGCCTGTAGTGTACCAGCCATAACTTTTTGTACACAAATCCAAATACTAAATGGTTACCTTTCTGAAAACTAGACACAAAGGGTCAACATTCATTTTTGGATCATCACCAAATTCCTTATAGATTGCGAGATATGAGCCTCCGAAATCAGACCTGCGGAACGAAGATTTTCTTCTTCGCGAATGCAAGAATCTCTTCACGAATGCGAAGAACAAAATCCCAGTAGCCAAATCCTTCTTCACGAACGCGAGAGGATCCTTGTGAACGCGAAGAACAACACCAGACACTAGTCCAATCATACCAACCAGTCCCATAACATAACACAAACTTGCTCGAGGCCTCAAATCACATCAAACAATATCGAAATCATGAATCGCACCCCAATTCAAGCTTAATAAACTTTAGAACCTCAAACTTCTACATTCGATGCCGGAACTTATCGAATCATGTCCGATTGATCTCAAATTTTGCACACAAGTCAAATTCGACATTACGGACCTACTCTTACTTTCAGAATCGGAATACGACCCCAATATCAAAAAGTCCACTTCCGGTCAAACTTCTCAAAAACCTTCAAATTTCTAGCTTTAGCCAAATGATGCCAAAATGGCCTACAGACCTCCGAATCCACTTCCGGATGCGCTCCCAATACTAGAATCACCATACAGAGCTATTCCCATACTCAAAATCCCAAACGGACTTCGGTAACCTTGAAATGCACTTCAACCCAAATTTATGGAGTTCTTCCAAAATGCTAAATTCCACAATAGGTGCCGAAACACTCCCGGGTTATCCAAAACCCGATACGGACATATGCCCAAGTCCAAAATCATCATACGAACCTGTTAGAACCTTCAAATCCCGATTCTGAGATCGTTTACTCAAAAATCCAACTTTAATCAATTCTTCCAACTTAAGTGAAGCTACTCGTGGCCTCAAATTGCTGAACGACACGCTAGGGCTCAAAATGATCGGTCAGATCGTTATATGCTGGTAGGCAAACACAACATAACTACCTATTAGAAGACTCAGAAGGGTGCGAGAGAGGATATAATTTATATCACAGTTCAAATAAATATTAAAGCGGTAAATAAGCGACAAATAACACAATAGGCTCCCAAACATAATAATATCCATAACATGATAAAAGCCAAAAAAGAATCAATGTACAAAGTTTGAATTCTTATTACTTTTCCCCAGCGGAGTCGCCAGAGCTGTCACACCTCTTTTTTCCGGCAACACTATTATGAGGTTGAGTTTGAAGTGTTTTTCCAATTAAAATGACATTTTGAAAAGGGATTATTTATTATTTAGAGTCGCCACTTGGAATTGAGTTTTGGTGTTCCAAGTCACCGTTTATTTCAATCCCTTATCAAACAGAAGGTTTGACTCCTTATTTATGGTCTACGAAAACAGAAGACTGAGTAAGGAATTCTGTTGACTGAGGGGAAGGTATGAGGCACCCCTCGAGTCCCGTGGTTCTAGCACGGTCGCTTTATTGACTCATGTCCGGCTTAAATCAATTCTTGGCTATTCTTATATTTTATTGGTTATGATTTACCTATTACCACTTAATTAATAATTGTACTTTATTAATTGTGTTCACCAAGATGCGGTACGCACACAAGGTAGTCTTCTTTGAAGTTGAATGTTAAACCAAGGTACAAGAATATATACATGGTTAAAACATAATTATTTTAAATTAAAAGTTATCACGACGCGGGAATACGCACATGATCCTTTTATTATTTAAGCATATTGATCTAAGGTTCGGGTATGAATACATGGACTAATATTTAAAGCGCGTGTAAAGTTCTTCTAACTATTTTAGAGTTATTTTTTGCTACGTTTGAGATAATTGTGAAGGCCATAGATTATGGATATGAAGTTGCGGAAGATGTGTATTATTTAAACAATTATTCACAACTCAATCAACCTTAAAACTATTTACAACTTAATAAATTACCAATATTCTATATCTGAAATTATTTTGATATCTATTATTAATATGTATAAGAGATGAGCTAGCTAGAAATTACCATTTCTTGTTGGCCTGACAGAACTCTTTGACCTAAACAGTGAAAAAGGCCTCATGTACGATCTAAAAAACGATCTAAAGAGAATTGGCATAAAACTCAACTATTCACAACTCACTTCTTGACAAAGATCCAGGACAAATAAGAAACAGTAGTAACACAATCTGGTAAAGCAATTTAAACGATAATATGCCCTTACTTTTTAAGTGACATTCCTCCGTCATGCGATATCTCAAAGTTTACTTTATGTAACAATTCACCATGGACAATCAAATACTCATATCAAACATAGATGACAAACTCAAAACATTTAAACAAATTTGAGTCATGCCTTTTAATCATGGAATAAAACTGAAAATATCGAGATGAGATAAAAATGGACCTTTATATTAACGAAGCAAATACAGAGTTAGAATTTTGTCCGGAACAACTGGACAACGACCGATACCTTTAAACAGTGACCTTACTGGAGCATCGAACATAATCAATAACCTCGAACGGACTCGCCGGACAGTGACTTCAATTCAACCTCTCGCTTCCCTTTTAATGTTGTTGCTTTATGTCAAAGAAGAAGGGTTGTTTCGCTGGAGTTTTTAGCCAGTTTTCATGGCTGTTTTGGGCTGATTTCGAGGTGTTTTAGAACTGAGTTCAAGGTGATTAATGGCTGGTATTCATGGCTGCGTTTTCATGGAGTTTCAGCCTGTTTTTCAAGTCATTATTGGATGGTTATGGACTGTTATGGACTGTTTTTCATCTTGGTTTTATTTTTCTTACGAGCTGCTGCGCCGGACCTAAAACTCTAGGGTTGTTCGCCTTCTAAATTGTCCCCCTTTTATTTGTGAAGTGTGTGAGCTATATATAGAATGTGTGTGTTGATGGGAAAAAAAGAGTGGGGACGCGGGGGAATCGTGTGTGTGTGTATGTGAAGGAAATGGGGATATGGGGGTTGGGATGTGAGGAGTGGTGTGTGTGTAGGTAGTGATTAGTTAGATTAGATATGAGTTAATCTTTTGGTTTTATTTTAATTTTTTTTTCTCCTTCTTTTCCTTTTTGTTTTTCTTTAAAAGATAAAATATAAAGATAAGAAAAATTAACTACCTAATTTTTAGACTAAAATAATATAGGCAAACTAAATATTTACACTATAATTTAAATTACACCCAAAATATACTAAAGCTAAGCTAACTTATTTATTATAATTCTAATTTAATGAAACCATATATTTTTGTAAATTTTCTTTTTGTCTTTATAAATAGGAATAAGTTTTATACTATAAGCATGTGAATATTGTTTTTGTAATTTTTAACTTTTCTCAAATAAAACCTATTAAAAATAAGATAAAAGTTTAAAATATCAGGATTAGACCTAGAAAAAATATTTACACTAAAATAGTATAGAATCCGGGTGTGGTAAAAAATTAGGTGTTCACATTATGTCTCTCCCACCCCTACTCCCCTGCTTACTTTATTGTATTCCCTATGTTCCACGGGCTAACTTCTTCTTTTGCCTTTCTTTTTACATCCTTTATGTTTTATCTTAATACTACGCTTATTGCTTTCACATATCTATCATGCAAATACTTGGCAATGTGTTATCATCTTTGCATAAAACATGCTCCACATCATATTCCACTCGTTCCCAACTAATACCATAGCGGCACTTGATGAGTATCCGCGCTCTTCCAAAATTACCCTTTAAATTGAAAAGGCTTATTTGCGGTAAACTAGTCGATCAGCGGTGAAGTTGACGGTTCCGTGCCTTTCCTTCTCAAGTTGTCCACTTGAGGGTACCGGTCTAGACCCTTCTAGAAACCTCACTCCAATATCAACTATGCATACATCATGTCAAACCTAGTATGGGTTAGAACGTTGTCCACGTGATAATCCACTAAGATAAGCCTTGTCCAAAGTCCGACTGGATTTCCATAATCTCAATGGACACCATCACGTTATGTGCATTACTTGGAGAAAACATGCCGATATGTTAATCATTAATATGTAAATAGTCAGACCCGAAGGAGGAAAGGGCTAACTCTGTTTGTTTTGCAGAAAATGAGGCATGAAGTTCCCAGGTTTGGCATGGTTCAAAACATCCCACCTTTGCTGCTTGATTGGTGGAACAACCTCTCACCTAGTGACAAGAATCATGAGAAAAGGGTCCTCGAAAATTTACCTTCCTTATTAGACATTCGGCCAAATAACGCATTGATTGAGGCCGCCACTATGTTTTGGGATGAGAAAAGAGCCGTCTTCCGCTTTGGTGATATAGAAATGACCCTCTCTTAGAGGAAATAGGAGGCTTCGCTAGGCTTCCATGGGATAGTCCGGGTTTATTAGTACAAAAAAATTGCACTCACCGCGGTTTTTTGAAAATGATGGGTTTCAAGAAAAATGATGAATTACTCTGTCTAAAGGAGTCCTACATACCATTTGAATTCCTTTATGAACGTTATGGGCATAGCAAGTCATATCTCTTTCACCGTGATGAACTTGCCATTACTTCTTTGGGTTGGACACACCGCCGAGTCTTTGTGTTCATTGTCTGTTTCTTGGGGTTGCTGATATTTCCGATGAAAGGGGGAAAGAT